CGTTGCTCTCAATTCGTCCTCCATTCCTCTTACTCTTCTAAGTAACCCAGGCAAGATTTCCTTTCCTCGTGCGCATGTTTCTTTCTCCACCCATTCGAAAAAATGCCACCCCCTCTTACTGTTCTGCAATTTAAACAAAACGAAACACCAATTTCAGACCCAAAAAACCACCAATTTCATTCTCCAACCATGCGAAAAAACGAAACACCAATTAACCCTTATGCAATTCAAACAAAAACTTACCCGATTATTGCCACATACCTCAAATCTTCTTCCGGGATTCAGATCTGTCCATGAAGTCCGCCGTTTGATTTCCGACCCACACTCGCAGTAACGACGCCTGCAATTTGAATCTGTCGAACTCTCCGACATTTTTCCTTCCCTCACAGCCCCTTCTTAGTTCTTCAGTTCTTCAGTCTTCATTTGGGGGTCGAAGCCAAGGGTTTAAGGCGAGTGTTCAGATTCGAAGGAGAGTCTTCAGACTCGAAAGGACGTTTTTACCCCTCATTTTGACGGACAAATTGACAGAGTTGGACGGCAGGACCTAATTGCACCCTATTGTCAAATTAAAGTACGAAATTGCCACAAAATTTAGTTCACAGACCGAATTGCAACTGGGGCCATAGTTCACGGACGTCTACAGTAATTAACCCTAAAATAAAATTTCAAAATCGACAAAGATAACCTATAATAGTTGTTAAATTTGGGCCGCTCAGAAAACACAAATTTTTTGACAAATGTAAACTAACGATTGGTCTGCTTCGGTTTTGTTTGGAGGGAGTCTCATGGACCTTTTTTATTGTGAAAGGGCTGCAGGTTGACCTGTGTGGTCAACATATCTGTTTTTTACAACAACGACCTCGTTCATTTTAGAATTTTAGGTCTTCTTCTTCCTCATGTGGCGCCGCTCGTTTTTCTTTTTCCACCTTCTCTCTTCTCTTCTTCATCTCTCTCTCTACCTCCCTCCTCACACGCGTCCTATATTTTCTTCTTCTTCCTCCTCTCCTCTCCTCTCTTCTCTCTCTTCAATCTTTCCTTCTCTCTCTTTGGCTTCTAGCTCCATGGACTCCAATACGTATACAACGCGTATCGGAGCGATGTGTATCGTATCCGGCGTATCTGATTCCGGGGGTCAAAAGCAATGTCATTTTTTTTGGGATGTAAAAAACGACTTGTCGTTGTATTTAAAGACTCTTGACATTTGGGAGGGAAAATCAGTTATTTCCTTCCTTCACTGTTATAGTCTTCTTCCTCTTCTTCCTCATACTCATTCTCTCTCTCTCTCTCTCTGCAATACACGTTCTCTCTTTCTCTACAACTCAAGGAAACTCAAGGAAACTCATAGAAGATGAATCCAGAGGAAGAAATCGCTAATGAATTGCTCCAGCAAATGCTGTCATCAGGCATTGCAACGCTAGTACCTTTTCCTTAACCTTCCAGATTTCAAGATTATTAAAGATTTATGATGATTTGTTTTTATTGTATGAAACCTAGAAATAGGACTTGGAAATATAAGCTGAAAATCTTGTATGAAACCTAGAATTTCAAGATCCTTTTTGAAATTCTTTTCCAATTTATCAGAAATTTAGCAAAATCTTGTAGTTTAGGGAACCTTGATTGTAAAACCTGTAAGATGAAGAGATAGATGGCCCTGGCCTTTCTTGAAATGGCATCTTAAACACTTTCTTTTTGTCTAATCCGTAGCCATTCAGTGGTGTTGGGCTCCCAGCAAGATAAGCCACGGTATTTCTGTTACAGCTGAATCCAGATTCGAGTGCTTCTGAAAGTTTTAGTCCTCTTTGTGACTTGAAGAGTATCTTAGTTGTGCCAAAAAATCCAGCTGATCAAACCAAGTCTGGAAATTGTTAGAATCTCTGTGATCAAAATTTCTAGAAATACATACTTTGACTGTTTCTTACCTGATAGGATTACGAAATCAGAGGTAATATAGTCAATCTCATTGAAGTAAACAAGCCATCTTCTATTTTTTCTTCCAACTTTTCCTTCATATTGGAAGCTTTCACGTAGGTTTCTAACCACACACTTCACTTGGCATTCTGTTTTAACAACGCATCTTGCCTGCTTCACAAGAAACACTGGTTTTAGTGGAGAGGGTGACCAAAAAACTTAAACAAAAACGTCTCTTACATCCTAGTGGATATTATTATTTTCTCCACATATAGTATAAGATAAGACATTCCTGGATTGCGGAACGTAGATAATTTTTATCGGTAGAACTTTTGGCATTATAAGGACATCCAGAAAGACAGCTTCCATAGGCTAAGCAGGTACCCATTGCATCGGCTAGTGGTTCTTCAAGGTCAAAATTCACACTTAGCTTCACTGAAGTATCAAAAGTTTCTCCAATGTCTCCATTAGAAACTTCTTCCATAACTTTCGCAATAGGAAATTTGACAGGAATACTCTGTGCTTTCAGCATGGCTGCAGCAGAAGCTTCACAGTTATCCCAATTTTTTTCCCATTCCTTTGGCCACTTTGGA